TTATTGTGAACTTTTATTATAGTTAGGATTTACGAAAATGGACTCCTCGAGTAAACGGAGATGATAATACACAGTTAAAAATAACCTTTATCATAAATATAAACAGTTCTAAACACTGCTAATTTTTGCAATAAGGATTTGTCCGTATTATGTATTTACCATATATATTTCATCATTCCGAAAAATGCATTAATAATAATAGTAGTTAGTAAGGATATGTATTACACACAATGTTCTTCTATTTAAAATATTTTTGAAAATTCTCTTTTTAAAATTAAACGCTGTAATTGTTGATTTGTATTGAAATACTGTTCATTCTCATTCGTGTGATTATAACGATGAAACTAATCGTACAAGAGAATAATTGTAATTAACTTTAATAAATAACGTATTTATATTTAGGTGGATTCTTCCAACAATATCAAAAGGAAGAAAGCGATTTTTAAAAGAAGAGGATTTATTAGAAATTTCAAAATATCATACTTCAGAGTATCTTGGGGATAAACTTCAAAAGTAAGTTATCAATTTTAATACAAATAAAAAAAGTAATAAATATTGCTTAAAAAGAAATCTTTACTAATATGCAACGAAATTTTTTAAAAATCAGTTATACAAGTACGGTACATGCCTAGTTTGTTCAATTAGTTTTTTTTTTTTTTTGTAAAATGAAGTTGGCCTAATTTATAGATAATTTATTCCAACGTTTTTTCGGAAAAACAAAAAATATAAACTAGCACAAAATTCCGGGTAGGGCAACTTACATTATATTGCATTGCATTAACATTATACAGTCGACCCCCCTCATATAGCAACCTCGTGGTTTTTTGCCCCTGCCCCGCCAAATGGCATTACAGGGAAGAAAGGGGACTNTTAATGATTTGTTTGTTTATAAAATTACATGCTACTGTATAATAAAATAATTAATAAACACATGTATTTTAAATACTGTTATCTATAGTGTTTGTCAAGGATGCCTATCAAGTAGGGCCTCATATAGCAACCTCGTGGTTTTGCCCCTGCCCCGCCAAATGGCATTACAGGGAAGAAAGGGGACTCTGACTTAATCATCGGCTGGTCCGTAGCCCAGAGATCACCGGGCACCGTGACGAGTAAGTCGGCCCGGGGGTAGTGCTTGGGTTCTGGCTCTAGCTCTGGCTCGAGTCTAGGCAGTCTCGAGAGTGCCGACCTTCATTGCTTTCATTGCTTTCCTCGCCTTCCTCACCTTCATCGCTTCCCGGGTCCGGCCTCAAACAGACGTGCGAGGTGTACAGTATGTCTGTACAAGAGAGTGCTCAGCAGAAGTGCAAAGCACTAACGAACGGGCGGTAGGGCCTCTCACTAAGGAGGGACCTTATTGATCGATTAGATCAGCAACGATAACCATCAATTCCTTTAGTCTCTTTTTGTTCCCTTCACTAGCTGCAAGCGTTCGAAGCACTTGATCAGGGGGCATATTCCAATTGACTTGGTCAGCCCCTAGGCGGAAGTCCTCTGTGAGAGGACAGTCAAGCACGTAGTGTCTCGCGTCACCGCGAGAACACCCACAGGGGCAGCTACCATCTCCTTGTCCAAACTTGGACTTGAAGTGGGGGAACCTCCCGTGTCCGGTCAAGATTTGTGTCAATCTGAAATCGCAACTCACTGGAATACGGCCGACAGTAGGCACAAAGGCCTGAGTCAACCTACCCACCGTACTTTGATTCCAGCGCTCCTGCCAATGTATCATCGATCTTCGTAATAGTGTGCCTTTAATGTAAGTAGTCGAGGGTTCTACCTTCCTCGTCACAAACGGGCCACTGGCTCCCGCCTTTGCCAGTTGATCAGCACGTTCGTTGCCCGGGATCCCGATGTGGCCGTGGACCCACCGCAGGGCAACGTGCCATTCGTGCCTTGCCCGCAGCACCTTACTTCTGACCTCATGTACCAACGGGTCGCGATGGTACCCGTCGCTCAAAGCTTGAAGCGACGATTGGCTGTCGGAGTAAACTGTGACCGGCTCTGGACCCGGATGTAATAGGATCCACTGGGACGCTCTCGCCAGAGCCACCAGTTCTGCCTGGAACACAGACGCCTCCTCATTCAGTCTGTCTGACTGACTGTACGTGTGGACTCCGTCATAGAAGACGCAGAACGCTGCGCCTACCAAGCTACCGTCTTTAGAGCCGTCGGTATATATTTCAATACCGACATTTGCCGGTTCACCGGCCTCCCAATCTAGTCCAATCCTTTAGGCCGGATGGACTCCTAAAACGTCTGTCTGACGTCTCAGTCTGATCGGGTACATCTGATTACAATGCTTAGCCTCGATGCCTTCCACCGTAGTCCAGTAGAAGGCTGCTTCTTGGCTGACTACCAGAGGAAGCGGGAGGAGCCCGGCCAGGACCAGGGCCGCCTCCGTTGACACAGTTCTGTAAGCCCTTGTAATTCGTAGGGCTGCTGGTTGCTGTATCGTGAGAAGTGTTCTGCTCTGCTTGACGTTGGCAGAGTCCTTCCACCAGATACCACAGGCATAGCAGACAATGCGCTCAACACTCAACTTATAGATGGTGCGAAGCGCCTCCCCACTAAGCCCGTAGTTCTCCCTAGCCAATCTCGATAGTGCTGCTATCGTGAGGTTCGTTCTGTCTCGAACATTCCTCAGGTGGGGCGTCCAACATAGCGTCTGGTCGATGATTACACCGAGGTACTTTAACTCATTCACCCTTCGGATGGGGTTTCCCCTAATTCGGTAAATTGGCCGGCGTGCCAAAACTCCGGTTCGGGCCACCGTCAGGGCCTCTGATTTCTCAGGGCTGAAGGAGAGCTTGTGCAGCTCCCCCCAGCGAACGAGCTGTTCTATTGCTTCGTTGCGGCGACGCTCCATGTCGCTCCGGCTGAAGCCTATCAAGTAGGGGCAAGATAATTCAAGTTCCAGATGTCAGAACACATTTTCCAGAAAACATCAGTTAAACAAGTCAAGACAGGAATGTCAAGCAAGGCAGACCTGATAGAAAGCTCAGCTCAGCCTAGCTCTGGATTGGTCGGCCACCGGATCTAAAAATAGATATAAGGCAACGTGATCGTTGGGAGAGGAGCCTAGCCTAAGACTATGTTGTTACAAGCAAGTAATAAACATTGCTGTGTATTATATTGTAAACAGTCATCAAATAAACAGACTTAGTCTGAGTTTAAAGAGTCATAAGGTATTCTTTTTGATGGATCAAAAATCAGAAGGCAGAATTTGAACTTTACTGTGCCTAAAATGTTTATCTATACATGTATATGAAAATTATATTATTATTGAAAAATTGTTAACATAACTTTGCCAGAATAATTGCAAAGGTACAACCAACACTCGCCAACACTTGCAGCCACAACAGAGAAGTGCGAGATCTACAGATCTAGCTTGACGGATAAATGTTTAAACTATAAGGATGCAACCATTTTACCGTCGGCATAGAAATACATAATCAGAAAAAACTCGTAAGATGATACATCCACCACGCTCAATGAAAACCTGTGTTACTATATAAAAAATGTTTACATATTGTATTGCGGGAAATTATCGTATTTTGTATTCCTTTTTATATTATTTTGTTTTTCGTATTTATTGTATTAATTTTATTATGCTTGTTTAAGTAATTTAATTTCAACATATATTCTAATATAATTTAAATTTGAATGTGTTCGATAATGGCATGGATTCGAACATCTTTAACCTGATGATGGCCCATGAAATGGGTTAAAAACGTTTGTTTAGCTGAATAAATGTGCATTCTCAGTATTAAGGTGTGTTGGCTGTATATTTTTAAAGAATCTGAGTGAGAATAGGAGATGTTAACATAACTGTATATTATACATTATACTAATAAAAATCAAGAGTAAAATCAAATGTAAATATGTAAGGAACCAAGTCCGAACGTTATTTTTATTTACTTTTATTTTGCTTATTATTCTATTTTTGTTTGGGGCTTATGTTTTGTTAGAATGAAGGTTTCCTCACCATTCACCTTAGTAACTTAAAAATAGAAGAAAAACCAACTCACCGACGAAAGAAAAGCGCCGTAGAAAAACTCGCGCACACTTGCGCTTCCCGAGCGGAAAAAAGTAAGTCCGCACCGAGAAAAAGGGGGGGGAAGACCCCACAACCCAGTTAGGAATCGCTAAACCTTAAAAGAATAAAGCATCCCGATAATTGTTAAAAAGAATAATGTAAAAGGTTAGCGAAGTATTGTCGGAAAATAATCTGCCAGATAAACAAGAAAAATTTAATGTTACAGATAAGTATGTAAATGAGGAGAGTGAGCTCATTCAGAATTGTGACGTCACCTCACACTATAAAGCCTCTAACTCAAGTGAAAACGAACGAGGTGAATTCCTGATAGCAACGAGCTTTGGTGAGCTTCGTAGCAGTGAACGAGAGAGGTGTCCGATAGGATTTTGAAGTTATTCGATTTGTGGATCGACGATTATAGAAAGTCTTGAGAGTTTGAGGAAATAGGTTCCTAGTATATTGAGGTGACGATTAGGATCTTTAATTTATAAGAATTATTGTTTATAAGTTAATTCTTTGATTTTGTCGAATTCCAAAGGGGAATAGAATTAAGTTAGAAATAGATTGATTTGAGTTTGTCGGATTGATTCTTGTTGAATTTCATTGAATAAATTATTGTTTGATTTTTACTAAATACTGTATATAGTTTATTACTAGAAGTTTAATTAAATATTTGATTTTTGTTATTGACAAACTTTGTCATTATTTAATTCGGTGCACGCTTAAAGTCCAGGCCTGGCACACTAACGCGAATCCGCGTAAAGTACCCGTTAGGGAACGGCTATTTCCGGCACGCAGTAGTGTCAATAATCGTTGGAAAAGTCGGAAAAATAATATAGTACTTTACAAATATTAAAGTTTAATATTTTAAAATTTAAATTTTTACATTTTTCAATTTTTGTTTAAATTTTTCTTTACTCCTCCACAGAATATAACTTAAACACTAACTGGGGAGATCAGTTAGTGTTTAAGTTATATTCCTTTGTATATTATAAACAAGCCTGTAATTGAGGTTTTCTGTAGATTGATTTAGTAAATAAAGAAATTTCATATACATTAAATAATTCTCTGTAAGAGTATTCACAAGTTTTGAAAGATTAAAAGTAAGTAAAACAAAGTTACCTTCACAAATACGTCCACCATCTTGAGATTTATAACCTTCAGAGCAACTACATTTGTAGCCAATAGGTAAATCTTCACATTTTTGAGCACAGCTAGATCTTATCAAACATTCATTTATATCTATAAATAATAATTTTATTTTAGAAATAAATCCTTCTTAAAATATATTGTGCCCATAAATTAAAGAAAAAAATCTTGAAGACAACCCTTATTATTTACTGTAAGAATTATCAAGATTTATCATATAACATTAACTAATAAAAAAAAAATTTTTTTATATAAAAAGCATTCACATTCTATGAGAGACAGTTTTGTCAATTCCATTTCTTGCCTCAATTGCAATAAATAATAATAAATTAAATTGAAGTTTTATAACTCTACTGACATTTCACTATGTTCATGTAATGTATCATAAAAGAACTATAGAAAATTCCTGATATTTTGCATTTCTAAATATATAACTTCAAATATCCAAAAATTATCAATCTAAGAATTCATTGTTATAATTTCTAAATGAACTGCCAGGCTGTAATAAGGTTAATTTTATCAATTATAAACAAAGTAATTTGACTATAGGTAGGCAACTAACAGAATTCAGTTGATGTTTGTGTTGTTATGATTTCGTACCAGCAAGAACAGAAATTTATTTCCTTCTTTTAAATCTATAAAGCTTCATTAATATGAATTTTATGCTGAGGAACTAAAAATAAAGCTCCTTACTTTCAAGAGAAAAATTTCAATTTTTGTGTATTTTGTATCAATTGGATACATAAACAATGGAATTCTATATTCTTTACAGATTAATAAATGAATCAAAATTTTTCTTCAAAATAGCATTGAGAGACAATTTAGCTGAGAAACTAAAGCCATGTTATAATTATGAAGGTATTTCATTGGATGGTCAGGCAAACTTCTATGTTCACACCTACACATTTGTGAGATTTTCAAAGGGGAAGTAAAAGGTGGGAACAATTTCAAAATCATGTCAAAATGAATGAGGAATAAGGGACAGTATGAGGGGGTGAGGCAGAGCACTCTTATAGATGAAACTCATTGATTTGATAAAACTGAGACTTACAATTTCATACAAAAGATGCTCCACTCAGTCTATGATCAAAGAATTTGATTATTTTCTAATGAAGACCCTTGATGAATCAAGTTCATGATGTTGGGAGAGATAAATCTGACTTTATAAACCCCAAATTTCATGGACAAAGGATTTTTATTCCTGAATTTGTCTTCTGATTGGTCCCTACTCTTTCCATCATCTTTCAATTGATTCTTTTCTTGTCAACAAGTGAAATTAGACCAGATTGTGTCATGAAAAAGATTGATCTTCAGTATTCACCAGAAATTGCACTCTCCTGCAACTGAGGGATGTTGATCAAACTGAAAGTTTCACATATATGTTACACAGTATTTTCTCTCCTGCTATGCAAGAATTTTAAAAACTATAACAAGACACTTTCTCTTTGTTAAAACATTCTGTTTCCCCATTTTTCTCAAACTTTTATCTGTTCTATGAGCTTCAGTCAAGGTTCAAATTCTTTGGTCTTACATTAACATGTGCTTGAGTCTCACTAGAGACTTACATTATTTACATTTGCATTGCTTCTATTTTATACATTTTCTTGTCTATAATAAAACTATTTTTAACACATTTAGAGAGGGGTTTGGATCCTGTCTGGAACCTCACAATTTTTCTAGATAAATTCTCTCTAAATATCAAACCATGTTGAAAATAATTGAGTATGCTTTGAATTCTTTAAAGAAAAATGAAATCATCTAATAATCTCCTTTTTAAAATACACAAAAATTTAGAAATTTATTTGAGACACAAGGAATATTATTATCAGAATTGTTTGCAGTCTACCCTCACACTATAAGCATATAAATATCAAATCTGATTCTGCAATGTCATTGTAAATTTGAGTTATTTCTTATGTCTCAATTTATGTAAAATGTTATGTAAATAATTTCTTGTGTATCTTATTAAGAAATGGATTTAAACATTATTACATTTTTCTAAAGATCTTCAAAATTCATCTTTAATTTATGGAAAATGATATATATAAATGAGTTTTTAAAAATTAACGTCTAAAGCATAATAAAATTAAATTTTTAAAACTTACTGCATTCTGATTCATCAGAGTAATCACCACAATTATTTTCTCCATTGCACAGAAGATCCATATCAACACATACACCATTTTTGCATTCAAATTTACTGTCAGGACAGAGAGAAGTAGTAACATTATGAACTGTAAGAATTAAAATACAAAAAAAATATAAATAAGGTAAAAAAATTCAAATGAAGATCATATAAAAAAAATAAAGTTATATAATGAAAATGAATTAAATACAATTAATAATTTATTTGAATCATTTTATTTATCAATTTATGATTAAAACTATATGCAAAAATTGTTATTTTTTGCATTTTTATATTATTTTATTCATTACCATATAAAGTTATTAATGTTAAGTTAGTGAGTGTATCACTTGTACGTATTACTAGATATCAAATTTGCAGGATTTAATAAACATATAATTTACTAAAAAACAAAATGATAGCTCTGTATATTAATTATTCAATAAGAAAACATTAAAGTATTATTTCCTATAATAAATCTGAAATGGGTAATCTGACTTCTACGTTCTACAAGAAATTTTTCTTACTCATTATCATTGGCCCAATCCACTATATATATATATAAATAATCAAATATCAATATTGATCTGTGTATATATATACACATACAGATCAACACTGATATTTGATAGTTAAAAGAATGGCATATTTGATATAACACCATTTTTTGGAAAACAATATAACACACCACAAAGACTGCTAGATGG